ACTAGAAGAAAATCTTTTCAGCTGTAGAAAGTTTCTAGGTGCCGTATACAGAGCTCCCTAAGAAAGCATTCGTCGACCAATGTTTATATTTTTTTTACAAAAGGTCAGGAATAACATTGACTGCATGTTAAGAAAACACACTGTATAATGTAATGTATAAGAATATAGGAGTCGACTCTTGATCTTGGACTTGATTTTCTCCGCTTATGTAATCGTCACTATTTTGTCCTAGCTTGCTCTTTTATCAAAACGCTATTTTGCCAATAACTGATTTTTAGGTATTTTATTGTTCGAGCTAAATAAACAAAAATTTTACCATAACTATTATAACTTGTAATGGCGGTTAAATTTTCCCGATCTCGAGAAATTTGTGACATTAATTTACTTCTGATATTAAAAAAAGAAAAGTGAAGATTGGAGAGAAACGCTCTCAGGCGTTAAATACAATAGCGTCGTGAATTAATAAAAAAAAGGTTTGATGTTAAAGATGGCAGGTTCTTTATGAGAGAAAATAAAAATTTGACATTTGCCCAATTCCAATCTTATAAAGTTCTGAGAATAGCATAGAAAGAAGGTAATTTATTGTGGTTCAATAAAGAAATGGTTTTTCATAAATCATGCCCATAGCTTTCAGTTTGGAGCATTAAACGGAGAACTGGATTCTCAACATATCGATCCATTTCGAAGTAAAGTCAGGGCTCAAAAACTGAACTGAGCCTTAACAAAGAAATAATTTCTTAAGGGTCTAGCTTTGTAGATTCCCTATATTAGCTGAATTACGTGGAATAGTGTTCCGGCCTTAACAAATCTGGAGAGGCGTTGGAAAACTGAGGAGCTTTACTTGAGGATTATTTCTGACAGAGGTATAGCCTACTAGATTAATATTTGGAATCAAGTCAACAAGGGATTGTTTGGTGCTCTGCCCTATATCGATATTAGTAGGCCTAAAATACCAAAAGGCAATTAATTAACTCGATAAACATATTAAAAGAAAATTTCCAACGGTGATCGTTAAATTACGACCTAAATTGCCTAATATGCGTCGCTTCAGAGCTATTAATAAAAATGGCATGGTCAACAACGATAATTGCAACTTTCCTGTCTCGTGAAATTTAAAATATATATTTCCTTTTCCACAGATCACCGTTTAGTTGCTTTATTAATAATTGTTTTATTAAATTAGCTCAAGGAGCTTTTTGATAAAATATAAGCTTTTTAAAATGAATAATAATTTTAAAAATATTTTGATCAAATATCAAACTTTTGGAAGACTTTAATATTCTCTCGATCCACTTTTATCCGGAATAAGATGAATTCGTGCTGCGAAAAAGAAAGAAGACGATAATTCCGAAGTCTAATTATTTTTTCCAACTAATTTTCTTACTGCCTGGTTCTGCTACACAGCTTGAGATGTAAGAACACCTGTCAGTGAACCGTTGAACCTGAACAATGTTATCGAACGTGTCTGTTGTATTGCTCCATAGCTACCTACAAATAATTATCAATTTTCTTTTGTCATAATTAAAAAAAAAGAACTGCACCATAGAAACAAAATCAATAATCAATAAAAAATTCAATATACAAGCAGAAGTGCAGAAGTTCTTCACACATCCTCAAAAAACAAGTACAGCTCAGTTGGGTCATAGTCAGACTCAAAAGTAAATGGTGTAAAATTGACCAGAAGATTTGTTTTTCTTAAATTGCCTCATTTAAATGCAATCTCCACTCTAATTAGCAATATTTCAGTGGCATGCATTGAATTGGTGCATCCTGCTCCCTTCAATTCCATATTGTTGTGTGAAACCCTTCTCTCGTTATTCCACAATCATATTTTCGTTCAAAGGCCCACTACCCCTATCGGAAACTCCAACCAATTCCCAGGAGCTGGTTTCTTTAAAAGACGCGTGTGCGTCATGTTCATAAGCTAAATAGAAGCAAATTACTCATTAAAAAATTAGTTTGTTACCAAGCAACTCCGGCGAGAGATTTTCTAATTAACAAACCCGGCACAGAATAATAATTATATTTGGCAGTAGAGCTTTATTATTCGTAATAAATGGCTGCTTTTGTTAATTACCCCAGGATTAGCGGTAATAATTATTATGCAAAGTCTTGTCCAATATAACTTGATTTCTGTTTAATTTTCTCAATGAGAATTTAATTATTGAAAGAAAATAATTTTTAGTTAGGGATGATTTCGCTTTTCCTATATAGGTATTTCACCTGTTTAGGTGGAATTTCTACAATTATTGTTAAACCTGGTTAGGCCTTTTTCAAGAAAATTATAGTTACATAAAATAGAATAATTGTGAACTACATGGATCGAAAAGCACGTATAATTTCTTAAGTACTTATATAACTTCCACTGCAGTACTTTTTATACTGTGTTTATGTTCCTTATTTATTCTTTGTCTTAAATTCCTGTCAGTTAGATGTTACAAGTAAGTTTATAATAAACTTCTGATTTATTTTTCTTTGTTATTAACTAAAAGTTCTTAGTAAGATAATTGTAGGATTAGTAGCGATAGAATTATTAAATTGTATGTCTAAAATTACAGATAATTAAAATTTGATTGAAAAAGTAACGATTAATTTAATTTAGTATAAAACATGATGCTCGGAATATGGCAATGAGGCCCTGTCTGCTTGTATAAGTTTTTTTTTTTTTTTTTTTTTTTTTTTTTTTTTACGGATATGCGCACTCGCAAGGAAATGTCCTATCACGCTCGAGAAGCGGCAAGTGCGCGGAAATGTCGGTGTATGTTGGTCTTGAAACGGTTCAAGTTGTAACCTGCAGGGAAAACCGTCGCAGGGAGTTTATTCCACAGCGATGCTGTTCTCCAGAGATATGAATTCTGATATACCTAATGAGGTTCTTGGTTAAAGTTAATATTCCACCTCTGTAAAATAAATAAATAGAAAAGGCACATATTTGCTAGCAGCCCTAAATTATAATTATTCATTTAAACTAATGATAACAAAATCCAAACCACCTTTAAATTCAATTAGCGTTTTACTTTTTCATATTATATTTTCTTAGGAATTAATCATACTTCTTATAGTTTGATTTTTTTTTTCTAATACATTACTGCACCAATAAATTTATATAAGGTTCGTGAAATTTTATAAAAGTTTGTCAATCAGCTTTGACCTAGCAACAAAATCCAATTTTAAACTGAGCCAACACCAGCACCAGCTTTCTTACTAGGAAAGTAACTAATTTAAAAACTTATGTTGTGCGGTCTCACCCACCTGGTGCTATATTATACAGATTTTTTTTCTTTACATGATTAATATATGATAAGTTAGATAAATATAATATGTGATAAGTTATATTAACACTGCATTAAAACATTTACCATGTTCCACGTTCCACACTTGCTCACACGCACGAAAGTACCGACAGTTTTGGTTAAACAAACATTTTGACTAGGTAAATGTATTGAGTGTAACAATTAGGTACCTACTTTCCATAAATAATAATAATCATATTTCTATTGAGTTACTTGTTATTTTTCTAAACGAGGCAGTGTGACAGCGCGATTCAATTCAATATTTTTTCTCAACTTTCCAATTTCTCAATTTTTCCCAACATCCAGAATTCCTTTACCAAACTTCTAACAACAATGTTCTCAATTTGCAATTAGGTATTACAAATTGCAGTAGGTAACCAGTAACCTTCCCTAGAGTCCAGGAGATCACATAAGCATGGAAGTTTTGTTTAGATTAATTCGATTTTGAGTGCCTGCGCCTTTCCAGTCAATTCAAAATCTGGGTCAATAAATTGTCGCTCTTTGAAAAAAATTCAACTTTTCACAGATTGTTCAAATAAGGAAGAATAAATTTTAATTCAAAAATAAAACTACTTATATACATTTAGGTTGTGCGAAAAAACAATGTCACAGCGGATAAAAACAATATACCTACTGATATAAAATAATTTCTAGTTTTTGCTTTGCCACCTATATCACATTTGATTACTATGAGGTTGTATCGCTTCTAGACGCAGCTAGAATATGCAATGGGTACGTGTACAGTTCAGCTACAATCGAGTTTCCGTTCATTTGATACTTCCTTAGCTACATTTCGGTTTCGAAATTATTAGTTCTCATCAATGCAACACCAGCGAACATACCAACTCAGAGAATAAAGAAATCACAAACCAGTCAGAGTGAATTTCATTGGTTGGAACTAGTTTTCTGACTGTTTTCAACCAATCAACGTTCTAACTGGTTTGTGATTTCTGTGCGAGACTTTAAAATTGATACAACAGCCACAATGTCATTATAGATGTGAGCCCAAATAGCAAGTGGTGTCATCTCTTTGAAGTCAGAATATTCCAATTAGATTCGTTACACTGTCAAGATGATGCTTTTGTGAATTGATACCTACAATTGGCCTGATTTGTAGGACTTCGAAAACCTCAAAACTTGCTTTGGGCTCACTGCTCACACCTATTATGGCTATTCAGTTTGATGGCAATTTTGTTTTTTGATTTGATATTCTAACTTTTTATACGATACGTATAGATATAGCTAAGGAAGTATTGGATGATTGGAAACTCAATTTTCTTTTCATTATCTTACAAGCACAACCACACGTATTGCACGTTCTAGCTGGATTAAGAAGCGATACAATCTTATTACTTAACAATCTCATAGTATGAGGCAAATGCAGTGGATTGTACAGTTGTATCCGACTAGATTCCTCACACTGCCGAGAAGATGCAGTTTGTGAATTGCGCCCTTTGAAAAATGAAATACCAAAAAAATGTCTGAATTCTTGAAGCATTACCGGCATTTTTTGAAAATTAAAAACCAATAAATGAAATTCAGACATGCAAATCAAGTACAATGAATGTGCATACATTTATAAGTCCTGAAATTATTTTACGTATTCGTAACTATTTGTTTATACTTATAGGAATGTTCAAAAGTTTTCCAATTTGACAAACAAAAACAAAAATCTACAAATAACCAATAAAAAAAAAAATATATTACCTTTTATCGATGGAGGTAATCCATTCCATAATTCACCCGGTACAGTAAAGCTTGGAGAAAAAAAAAGTTCTCAGTTTGCGGAATAATTCGCGTCAATTTCGGGAAACATCGTGGGATAATTCTAGCGCGAGCATTTCAGCTGGAAAGCAACAACTGGCTCCTTCCGAATCCTTCCGATACGTTTCGACACTAAACACCGCGGCTCACGGGACAAATAGGTGTGCGCAAGACGCGCCATCCAACGGGATAAGTTTCCAGGATGGAAATTAACCCCATGCTGCTGCATTCTTGCGTTAGCTTCTCGTACCCTTTCCGTATATGTTATCAGCAGGAAGAGGGGTTTATAAGCTATAATTCATATTTCTAATAAAACTTCTTGAAAGATTAGAATTTCGAAAAAATGTTAAAAAACTGTCTGATAGTGTGGAGGAACTTGAAACAAAGGAAGTTGTGTTTAATAGCTCATACAATGAGTTTTGGAGTTCTTTCTGGTCACTGGCAAACAAAACATGAGAAGAGAATTTGAATTCTCAATCATTGGATACATACATAATATATACCGGTTTAACCATGTTCATGTCGGGAAAGTTGGCAACACATTCGAAGCAGGATCGCTAAAACATGTTCCTGCTTGTGCTGCTATGGTCCTGCCACAGGTCCTGCCTCATCCTGTATCAAATCTGACCCTGGCAACACGTATTATACTATTTTTGAGATAAGTACAGCGATTTTGATTTCGGTTGCTTACTTCACCCTTGGCCACAGATCACCTACATACAGATGCGAAAGAGTGGCGAATTCGTGATTCAAGGTTATATGTAAACAGAACAGGCTGGAACACGCTCATGCACTATAAATGTCCTTACGCGGACGATCTGTGCCTATGCGTCAGGCGGCTGGCCTCCTTGCAGTCTGCAGAGCCGTGGTTTCGTAGCTTTGAATCGACGACGACAAGGATACTTACTTACGCATCTGTATTTAGGTGATCTGTGTCTTGGTATTTTAGATGAAAAGAGCTAATCCAAGGATTGAACTGAAACTAACCCGTCCTGGGATAGGTGGCCTCTCTGCGCTTCCGTAGGGTTTTTATTTTTATTTTTTTCTCAGAGATTATTAAGAGGACGGGTTAGTTTCAATTCAATCCTTGGATTAGCTCTTTTCTTCTGAAATACCAACATACTCGGTTGCACTAAGTATGAGGACAGGTTACTTTGGAATAGCTCTTTTCGTCTAAAATATCATCATACAAAAACTCGTACTTAGTATGAGGACGGATTAGCTTGGATTAGCTCTTCTCGTCTAAAATACCAACATGAAAAGACTAGCATTCATTACAAAAGTACGGGTTAGTTTGAGTTAGCTTGGATTAGATCTTTTCGTCGAAAATACCAACATACAGAGACAAATACTCATTACGATCCATTTCGCAACGGTGTCTCGAGCTCGCCGTATGTATCTCAAAAATATTAGTGTGTATCTCAAAAATATTAGGTGTTGCTGGAGCAAGCAGGAACATTTTTGAGCGATCCTACTTCCAATGCCTTGCCATGCCACGGGTGAAGTTACCAACTATAATGGAAATCCCTATATCTCGAAAATAGTAAGTGTTGCCGGGGTGTGATTTAGAGCAGGATGAGGCAGGACCATAGAAACACAAACAGGAACATGTTTGAGCGATCCTGCTTCCAGTGTGTTGCCAAGGGTGAAGATAGCAACCAAAATAAAAATCGATGTATCTCGAAAATAGGAAGTGTTGCCGGGGTCAGATTAGAAGCAGGATGAGGCAGGACCATAGTAGCACAAGCAGCAACCTGTTTCAGCAACCCTGCTTCCAATGTGCTGCCAAGGGTGAAGTTAGCAACCAAAATGGAAATCGATATATTTCGAAAACGACGAGTTTTCCTGGGTTGCGGTTTTAAGCAGGACAAAGCAGTAATATAGCAGTACAAGCAGAGGTGCATTTTAAAGATTCTGCTTCCAATATGTCGATAACTTCCCCGACGTGGTTTAACCGGTTTCAGCTCTCGTCACAAAAAACTAGTTTGCAGGAGGTGCCTATGATAAGATAGAAATAAACCTAAAATTGCGTGTGGCTCCATCTCTTCGTCTTTTAAAGATTCTTTTTGGTGAGTTCTTGGTGTTGATTCAATTATAGGTATTGTCTGGGAAATGAATTTTTAGAGAATTCGTTGACTCATGGCATCAACTCCTTTCAGAGGTAAGCTTTATTTTTAAAGTCTCTGTTATTTGCACATCAAGCCAGGAAAATATGAATATAGCGGGTAGGCTTTTTTTTTTGTTTATTTGAAATCTGTTCCAATTTGTGCTTCTGGAAATCTCTCTAATGCTAATGTAGGTAAAGTACCTATACTAATCTCCATTACTCTGGGGAATTATATAATCCGGAAGTATGTTACTTGGAAAATGTAGTTTTTGGAAGTCTCTATGGGCTGTCCAGATTCTAAAATCCGAAGATTTTCATGATTTAGAAGCTAGAAGCCTTTGCCCCGTATAAATGTCAGAAAATTAGGCTACAACTTCGTCCTTTTTTTGGAATTTTCTGGAGTGCCCAGATTTTTCTTGCGAACAGGCGCTATTCCCAGGAAAATTTATTTTAGAAGGTTTTTTAAGTAACGGAGTCCCCATCAGTATTCTCACAAATCAATTTATTAATCTGTTCTTCAGTACCGTAAGCAAAGGGCACAGACAATGAGAAGTTGAAACATTAATTTCAATTTTGTCCTTATTTTTATTTTCAATACATAATACAATACATATCGCTAATCTACACTCACGGATGTTGAACAGGAAGTCCAGTATTCGAATAACATGAAATTATTTTTGAATATACAGGCTTACATACATAGAAAGGCGTAGCAATAAAATAATAACTTTTTTATATTGCATATGACCTGTAATATCACAAGATGCAAGCTTTCAAATATATAGATAATGACATTCGTCATTCATTATTCTCGGATACGATATGGAAGTTATTTTGGAGGAAACTTAATCCCAAAGTTCACATTATACATTACTTACTTAGTTAGCAAGGTCTTGTTTGATTTGGTGAAATGTAAATCTGCAAAACAAATTGACATCAATTGTTTCATAGGATAGGTATTATAAAGTTATTTTATCAAGATATGAATATAATGCGATAATACCCACATAGGTATTTTTGGTAAAAGTGGTAAAATGCGATCTGCTGTCGATTTTAAATAAAACGCCCTCCATATTATCGCGTTTTGGGATTCTACGGAAAATTTAAGAAAATTTCATAGGTCGTATAGGCAGGAACCTAAATTCAACTATTTCGGAAATAGTGACAACTGAAACTTGACATATGTCAAGTTTATACCTAAACAATAGGTCTGTTTCTGCAGAAATTACAAACCAGTCAGAGCGAATTTTATTGGTTGAAAACAGTCAGAAACAGTCAAAAAACTAGTTTCAACCAATGAAATTCACTCTGACTGGTTTGTGATTCCTGCAGAAATAGATCTATAATCGTACTATTCTGCATTCTGGTCTATCAAAATTTGACATTTACGAAGTTCTGTCAGTTCTGGTAAAATGCTACTACTTTTGTATTTAGGTACCTTTTTTACTCGTCACGTGTAATAAATACCCACTGCACAAAAGCCTATTGGGTTACAATCAGAAATATTTGAATAACGTTAAAATGGGGTTGTTCATAATGACGTGCCCCAAATATAAATCCTCATAACCTGCGACCTTCTTCCAACTATTATAATAGGTTTATTATGCGAAGGATTAGTCTAGCAATACAAAGCGGAAACGCGGCCTCAGTGTTGGGAATCATACCAGCAGACCATGGCCTGGATGAGTGAAAATATGAAAATATTAGCTTCAAATTGACTTTTTTTTTTCGTCTGATGATTTTTGACAGAGTTCCACATTCATATTTTGACAGGTGATCAATACTTTCTTTATCAAAATCGGTACAGTTTTAGGGCACTTATAGCCCCTTCTGAGTTGAAAATTGCATTTTTAATTTTTTTGTCTGCAGATTTTCGATAGGGTTCCACATTCATCTTTTGACAGGTGATTGATACTTACATACTTACACTTATGGCCCGCATGTTTTCTATCTATAATAGAAAAAAAGTTATGACCTTTCAAAGTTTTCCAAAATCTAAATCATAAGATAGCGACCTTAGTAATAAAACGATGAAATTTCCAATTTTTTTTTTTTTAGATTTTTGTGTCTTAACGGTTTTTTGGGCTTCCCCGAACTCCATACACTAAATTATTCTGAGATTTGGAGCTAGATTCCATGAAAAAAGGCACTCAGAAAAATTGAAAAATTGATAAATCACTCCAAATTGCTTAACACGATTTTATTTCTGGAACTATAAGTCCAAATGAGCTAAAATTTTCAGTGATTGTAGTCCGCCACTGGGATAAGAATCGCTGAAAATTTCAGCTTTCCATCTCCAATAGAAAAAAACTAGGACCTTTCAAAGTTTTCCAAAATCTAAATCATAAGTACTAAAACGATGGAATTTAAATTTTTTTTTGTTGAGATTTTGTGTCTTAATTGGCCTTTGGGATCCCCTAAATTCCATACACTAAATTATTCTGAGATTTGGAGCCGGATTCTATGAAAAAAGGCACTCAGAAAAATTGAAAAATTGATAAATCACCCCAAATTGCTCAACACGATTTTATTTCTGGAGCTATATCCAAATCAGCTGAAATTTTCAGGGATTGTAGTCCTCTACTAAGATAAGAATCACTGAAAATTTTAGCTTTCTATCTAAATTTCTTACTAAAACGATAATGTTGAGATTTTGTGTCCTAATAGTCCTTCGGGATCCCCCGAACTCCACACACTCAATTATTCCAAAATCTAAATCATAAGGTATAGCTACTTCAGTACTAAAATGATGAAATTTCAATTTTTTTTTTTGTTGAGATTTTTCTATTCCTAATTTTCTATTCTTTTTCTATTTATAATTTTTCTTTTCTATTTATATCTAATAAAAATTATATAAATGATTCTCAATTTTGGTGAAAATTATTGTTGTATTTGTATGATCGTTGGTTCCAGTGTTGCCAGATTTTGATTTTAAAATTATTGTAAGTACATGAAGGTCAAAATTACCTATGTTATTTGAAAAAAAATTATGGTACACATTAATTTTTGAATAAACTTTATTAGAACTGTGACAGTGACAGTTTTTTATTGTGACGTGCTGTTCGCTGACGTGAGTGAGAGTGAGATAGAAAAAAACGTCAATGCCACTGTGGCTCGACAACCGATCAACCATAAATCAACCTTCCACGCAACCGGATTTATGACGTCACGCATAACTCTCAAACCTCTAAACAGCAAAAACATGGGAAAATAAAAGAAGAAGTACCTATTCTAAAGTTAAGAAAAATACAAAGAGGTTAAAATTATGGTAAATTATGTATTATTGCATTCGCGATTTTACTATGTATTTTTCTGCAAAATTATGGTACAAATACATAATTATGTTACGCCTGGCAACACTGGTTGGCTCTTTATTTTCCAATATTTTGTTAACTCTTCATGCTGTTTTTGTTTCTTGGAAAATATTGAATCGAGATTTTTTTTTCTTTCGACATTTAAAATAGGCGCCATGATGCTTCAAAAAAAAAAACGTCATCGTCGTCGTCACGCCACTTGATCTATGTCTACTAAAGAATTATAAGATACCGCCAAAAAGATAAGAATTTCAATTATATGCATTAGTACAGTGGCACGAAGTAGGCATATCTAACAACATTCGAGATTTAATGAAGATCAGAATTTAATAATTCTTAGTAAATAATATAAGTGAAGAAACATGGACATGGTTTTTCACTGCCGTCGGAAAATGAGACTATAAGAACCTTTTATTGCCTAAAACATGAAACACAGCTTATCGTAAAAATTCAAATTTAAAATTTACATTTTCTATGAATAATGTTCTATACTGCTAACGAAATATTGATAATAGAACTACGAGAAATCAAAAAAGGATGAAAGTGAGAGGAAACTAAATAAACCGATATTAATGTATCCATATTTATGTATAGACTATACTATTTTTCACGCCTGCGGCTCGTGCGCTTATCAATAGTGCCCTGTGGTGGCTGTTTTCTATAACTACCGTGAATCACTAGTAGCCTCTTACAATCAATACAGAAAGAGATCTCTAGAAAAAAGAATCTTATAACTTTACCATAACAGTTTTATCACCCAGAATAAATACAAATGCTTAAAAAAAACTTCTCAATAACAATAATTAGAAAATTTAAAAATATATATTTAAAAAACAGCAGAACTAGCACAAATATCTAAATTGAGCTAAGTTGAATTTGTTGAGTTCCTGCTGGAAATAAATAAACAAATAAATGAATATCATTTACAGCGTCATTTGACGGTTGATGAATTAAAGCTAGTTTTAGTAATGTACGGCGTACGCGCATTTCAGTTTCACCGGTTTTCCTATGAAGGCCACGATGAGGTCAAAATCAGCGGTGGTCTTAGGTAATAAGTGCTTTCAATCCAAACAATGCTTGAAGTTAAACAGAGTCCACAAGAGAATGGTGTAAGTAAATATAAAAAAAAATTGTTTTATATTATTATACCCGCCCCTGTACAACCGGCAATTACACAGAAACATGCACGCAATAATTATTGTAACACCATAGTAAACATATCTAGGTGAACATAATATTATCAATAAACGCCATGCTGATAATAAAATAAATCTTTTGTTTAACTGTCGGGCTGGTTCCCTCTTTCACTTCCTCGTGCGACGCGTCTTTTCGCGCATAACATTATTATTTATCAAATGTAAGATACTTTCATTATTAATAAGTGTTTTACACAATAATCAGTTGTATTAATTAATTGTTCATCTACAATAATTATTGAGAAAAAACTGGGTGGAATCGTTCTTTAACAAAAGACCATCATATTTGTGAAATTTGTTTTGTTTTTCCAAAAATTTTGAAAGCGCCGAAATTTTACATGGGTAAGTAATTTCTGTGTTTTTTTTTTTTTCTTTCTAGGCTTAGTTATTGATAAGTAATACCAACTTAATCTGCCCTAAACCAATTATTCATCTCGAAAACAATAAAAATCTTGAAATAAGTCATCGAATCTTTCTTTATTTTAGTATATTTTTGTTTCTATTACATGCGCTTTGAAATGATTATCCTAGTCGAATAATTAAGAATAACTGGAATTATTAGTAGATTACTTAAGTAGAATTATTTGTGAGTTGTATTGAGTTTAAACTAGCCAATTTCTCTTTAGAATCTATTATTACCTAAAAAAAATGCCTGACGTTTTGTTAAGTTCATACGCCATTAATTGTGAAGAAACATTGAATTATATCAACTTGAGATAAAGTTCCAATCGTTGTCACCTGCGTTAGAGTGAAATTTTATATCTTGGAAGATAAGTTTTCATTCTATCCTCTAACGAAATAATTCTAAGTATTCATTCAAATTCTGACGCAGGCGTACCTACTGGATTTGTCATAATTCCTAAAAAAAATTGGTCATTATGTTACTAATTACACATTATGATAAAAAAAAGTATACTCCAGTGAAGCATATTTTTAATTTGTTTTATTTTGGGAGAAAATGACACTCGAAACACCGGAACTCCTCTAATTTAGGCTTGTCTGTAAAATTTGGAAATTTTTAAAAAATTGGTACTCTTATAGCTGGTGAATAGAGTTTTATCTTCAATAATTTTATTGCGGGGTATGATTGATATCTTTCTAGACACGAACCATTTATTTTCATTTATTTCACGCGGGAATGTGAAAGTTTAATTAAAACTAAAGAGTTATCCAAACAACAATTTACGATTTTCCCTTAAGTTATTGATTAAAAAAAGAGTATTTTTAAAATCATTACTCATTAATGATAATAGAAAAAAAAAACAAATTGTTGGTGACTTGCTTGTTTTTGTATGTTCAATTTAATCACCTCTTTTATTCAGTAAACAGTTTAAAAGGCGGCACCTAAAATCAGCGTTTCAACTCACTTATCGGGAACCAGAGTCAAAAGAAACTTTTTGAAAAAATTCCTTATTTCTGGTACGACACTGGCAAAATAAAAAAACCGGCCTCATTATATTTAGTTCGGCACACAAAATTTGCCCTTGTTATAAGGGTAGAAACCGCCTCAATTTTTTTTTCCATGATCTAAAAAGAGATCAATTTTTTTTTTTTTTTCGTACACAAGGACAAAACCGGTAACTTGAATTACGAAATGGCACACGTTTTTCTCCAAGTACGAGTAGGTACTTGTACCTTGTATTGTGGTTGTGTGATATAGTAGATATTATAATAGATCTGTTCTAACTGACGTGAGAACCGTTCTAGAACGGTAATTTCCAGTTGCCCACCTATTTTTCAACAAGTTGAACGGCAATCCTACTTGCAAATAGACTATCTTTCAATATTTCTAATAATGATAATTCTTTACAAAAATAACCTACTGGATGAATATCTTGAATGAAAACTACATGTTGAGTAGGTACGTCACAGATAAAAATAATGTTATAAAAAACATAAATTGTATCCTACAAGTACCTTAATTATACCAGGAATATGTGACATTGGAGCCATGTATATTGTATGACAGATCGATTTCATATTCATACGCATAAGAACTTACAACACTTCACGAATCGCAATTACTTATATCGCTGCAAATAGCGGCGGTAGGTGGTAGACGCTTTTGGTAGGTGGTAGACGCTTTTGGTAGGTGGTAGACGCTTTTTACTCATTGGGCGTCGACCGGTGAGATACCACCATGCCAGAATTGAGTAGCGCTAAGTGGTATCACCACGTTCCGCTACTGCGCTGGCAGTCCGGTTCCAACAATGAGTAACAGATAGCATGATGGCGCCTCCAGGATCAAAATATTCCGGAGGTAAAATACCCGACCACTCGGATCTCCGGGCGTCGGGTGATCCTGGGGGTCCTTCATGCAAAGATATAAAGAGAAGATCAAAAACTCAACTCAGAATTGATTTTAGCAATATAAGAGGAATAAGTACAAATATGAATTCAGTTCACCAACATCTTGAAGAACAAAGACCTGACATCCTTGTTCTCACTGAAACTAAAATCAGTTCTGCAACACCTATTGTGAACTATCTTTATCCCGGCTATGACCTACACGACCGATTTCGACATAATTTTGGGATCTGTGTGTACATTAAAAATGACCTTTCATGTCATCGAGAGGAGAAGCTAGAACCAGCGAACCTTGATATCATATGGCTAAAATTCACCTCAAAGTCATCGACCAAGTTTATCTGCTGCCTCTACCGACCGCCAAGTAACACCGATTTCCAAAACTTTTTCGCGACATTATGCGAAAGCTGTGATAGTATACAGTCAAATTATCCACAGGCGGAAATTGTCTTTTTAGGCGATTTCAACGTCCACAATATACCCTGGCTGAAACACCACAACAAAACAGATAACGAAGGCAGAGAAGCAGAAGCTTTTGCCATAAGTTGTGGTCTAACGCAGCTTGTCGATGAACCTACCCGTATCTCAGAAAGGGGCGAATTTGCAGCGCTTTTAGACTTGTTCCTAACCACCAATCCTCACTCGTACACAATTCAAGTAGATGCGCCACTTGGTTCGTCCGATCATAAACTTATAATAACAAAGTGCGAAATGCTCATCCCACCAAGCCTACAACCACTTCCTCGTAAAATGTGGCACTATAAATCGGCAAAATGGAATGACCTAAAACAGTATTACCTGAATTTTCCATGGCAAGAGGTTTGCTTTAAAACAGCTGATCCCACTATTTGCTGTAATGAAATAACACAAGTAATCTTATCTGGAATGGACGCATATATCCCACATACAACTAAACGTAGAGCTAATGCAAAACCTTGGTTCAACAGCCAGTGTCAAACGGCTGTACAGAAAAAACACAGAGCATATAACCTTTGGAAACGACAAAAAACCGTTCAAAACCACACAGAATTTATAGAAGCCAGAAATAGTTGCAAAATTACTATTGACTTCGCCAAAGAAACATACAATCAAAGAATAAAAAACAGGTTGCTGAATTGTCCAAGTAGTTCTAGGTCTTTTTGGTCTCTTGCAAAAGCTGTTGGATCTAACTTCACCAAGTCATCCATACCACCACTTACAGATAAAAATAATCACTTAGCCACAACATCAGAGGAAAAAGCCAATATGCTTGCCCAAATGTTTTCCTCCAACTCCAATCTAACAGTGCCAAACGGAAAAACTCCACCGTTCATTGAAAGGGTTTCCCATAGTATGCCAGAGGTACCCTTTTGTCACAGAGAAATACGAAAATCCCTAAAAAAGCTGGATACAAACAAAGCAATGGGTCCGGATGGCATTCCCGCAATAGTACTCAAAAATTACGCCAACGAACTCACCCCAACTTTCGCAAAATTATTCAATTTGTCTTACAGGCAAGGAGTATATCCATCATCATGGAAGTCTGCAGCAGTACAACCCATTCCAAAGAAAGGAAAAAAGACAGATCCGTTAAACTATAGACCAATTGCTCTACTTCCGGTGATATCAAAAGTAATGGAAAGAGTTGTGAACAATCACCTAACCAAGTACTTGGAAAAGTACAAAATTATCAACGATAAGCAATACGGATTTCGAAAATATAGGTCAACTGGCGATTTACTTACATACGTCACTCACTTATGGCAAAAAGCGATTGAGTTGCGGGGTGAAACAAGAACAATTGCCTTAGATATATGTAAAGCATTCGACAAAGTTTGGCATGGAAATCTGCTCAACAAGCTCAAAGCAATGGGATTATCGCCGAAACTTTGCACTTGGTTTGAAAGTTACCTAAAGGACAGATCCATTTATGTTGCACTGGATGGCCAGAACTCCAACTCTTACCAAATAAATGCTGGTGTGCCACAGGGAGCAATCCTTTCGCCAACTCTTTTCCTGATTTACATAAATGACCTCATAGATAAAACAGTAAATCCACTTTATTGCTTTGCAGACGATGGCAATGTAGTCTCCTCACTCATACCACCCACAGGTCTTTCCGCACGTGAATTCCATCATCTTAGACTAACTCAAATATCGCAGATAAATAACGACCTGGAGATAATAGAGGACTGGGGTAACAAAAACCTTGTACAGTTCAACGCGCAGAAAACCCAAGCAGCTCTGTTTTCAAAAAAGACCAGCACCGGTGAGCCAAACATCATGCTATCTGGAAGTGCTGTCACATTACAGAGTCAGTTGAACATCTTGGGGGTTACTGCAGAGACCAACATGTCTTGGCACAATCACGTGGCAGATATTGCTAAAAGGGCCTCCCAAAAGCTGGGAGTGCTATTTCGTACAAGACATCTGTACACACCAAGCCAATTGCTGACACTCTACAAAGCCCAGATTCGACCAACTATGGAGTACTGCTCACATATATGGAGTGCAGCGCCCAAACATACCTTAATGCTTTTGAATACCGTGCAAAAACGAGCTATCAAGCTGATCAATGACCCCGCACTTACTCGTAACTTGGATGGTCTCGAACATCGCAGATCTGTGGGCGATTTATCTCTCTTCTACAGGTACTATCACGGAAAATGCTCTGAAGAGTTGGCACGTATGATTCCACCGAGAGTAGCACCTACCAGGCGAACCCGTCAAACAGACGGTAACCATGAATTTACTGTCAAACTAGAGGCACCAAGAACCTCATTATATCAGAATTCATATCTCTGGAGAACAGCATCGCTGTGGAATAAACTCCCTGCGACGGTTTTCCCTGCAGGTTACAACCTGAACCGTTTCAAGACCAACATACACCGACATTTCCGCGCACTTGCCGCTTCTCGAGCGTGATAGGACATTTCCTTGCGAGTGCGCATATCCGTAAAAAAAAAAAAAAAAAAAAAAAAAAATACCAACAGATAAATACAAATTCCAATTATCATCTAGAACCTTAATCTAAAATACAATATTTATTTGCTGCC